TTGGAAATGAGTCAGCAGATGGAAGATTTCTTTCCCTTTCTCCCTCTGTCTCTGTAACTCTGCCTTTCAAATAAAATAAAAAAAACCTTTTTAAAATATCAAAGATCATTAAAGCCATAGTAATATAACATTCCTTATCATTAATTTGACAACGATATAAAAACAAGTTTGACAAAATTATGTTTATACCAATTCTAATGTAAACAAGCATTTCTTTCTCTTTTTGTTTTTGTCTTTTGATTGTGTGTGTCTGTGTGTGTGTGTCTGTGTGATTTAGCTCCCTACTAAGGCCTAGTTCTTGGTTGCTAAGGAAGACAAAGAGGGCTTTCCCCTTGCCCCACTGGTTACCCTGTGTGATATGGGGCTTGTGTCACCAGTTGCTGCCCACCAGACTCTTGTGCAAACCTTTGACTTAGTGGTCAGTCAATCACAACAACCTGGGTTAATTCAAATACACTTAGAGTTTTTAATCAGATAAATTCAATGGGGATAATTCTACAATTTTTCAATGTTGATATCTAATATGATCCTCGCAACAGTTATGAATGATGGTGGGAGAATGAATCATTCTGTGAGTGAACAAATAAAAGTGAACACTCTAGGGCCGTTTCTGCTCACAGTGTCTTCCTGCCGTGGAGAATCTCCCTCCTTCACAAGGGTAAACATGACAACCATCACTGTACTAGTGGCCCTGCACAATACATCAGAGCGATCACATGACTTAAGATAAATCAATCAGGTGATTCTTGGGAGAAAGTGTTCAGATAGAGCAGAGAAATTAATCACTTTTAATGATTTATTTATTTTATTTGAAAGGCAGAATGGCACACACATACACACACACACACAGAGGGAGAGAGAGAGACAGAGACAGAGACAGAGAGAGACAGAGATCTTTCGTCTTCTGGCTTACTCTCCAAAAGCCCACAGCAGCAATGTTAGGCCAGACCAAGTCCAGGAACAAGAAAATACATCTAAGTATCCCACATGGGTAGCAGGGGCCCAAGCACCTGAGCCATCATCCACTGCTTTCCGGCACATTAGCAGAAAACTGGATCAGAAGTGTGGAGTACCTGGACTAGAGCTAACACTCCTATATGATATGTAGACATACCCAGCAATGCCTAACCTGCTGCACCACACACTGGCCCTGAGAAATGAATCTTGAAAGCTGTAACACCCCTCCCCACAAGGAATGCACTCAACAAGGAAATCATTTAATTCTTGGTGTTTGTTTTGCAATTTCATGAACCTCATATTGACTAGTTCAGAATGCTAATAAGTCAGAGCTTATACACATAAATAAGAGAGTGAGAAAAAGCATGATGAAACGATGATTTTCCTAACCTCAGGCAAGAAGGACTGAACCTGAGATTATCAATGTGAATTGGATACAAAGTTATTGAATGTCCCTACAACTGGTAGCTTTTTAGATTCAGTTGAAGAGCTATGACCTCAATAACCAAAAATAAAAGAAGACTTTAAATGAAATATGAGAGCTCCCAGAGCAGAGAGGGTAATGGCCCACTTCTCCAAGGTATAGGCAGGGAGACTAATAAAGATGCATATAAACTACTGTTGCAACATTACAACCAAGCAGCAAAGTAAGAGACTGGTTTTCCCAAGCTGCCATAACCAAATGCCACAAACTGAATGGCTTAAAACCACACACAAATAAAATCTATTTTCTCACATGTCTTGACCCTCAGAACTGAAATTCAGGTATTGGCAAAATCATCCTCCTTGTGAAGATACTAAGGGAGAGCATCTCCTTTCTTCTTTTAGCTTTTGATGACCCTAAGCATTGTGGCAGCATCATTCATTTCCATTTCTGACTCCATCATCAGGTGCCCATTTTTCCTCTATGCCTCTGTCCAAATGTCTATCTTCTCATAAGGACATCATTCATATTGGATTAAAGGACATGAATGTGACCTCATCCTAACTAATTTCATGTTTAATTATCCTATTCACAGGAAAAGTCACCATAAGGTACTGGGGGGAAGGACCTCAGCATATCTTTGGGGGCACAAACTGCAGGCCATAATAAGTAATACTCATAAAAGGTGTAGGTTGGTTGAAATTTCTGGTGGACGCCCTTCTAGTCTATACCTACCTAGTGTGGAGAAAACAGGTAAGAATTCCTGAGGTCTAGAAAGAAACAAGTATCTGAACATCCCAGTGGAGATAAATAATCTAGAAGTTGGACGAAGGAGATTAATAATCAACTAATGTGACCATTGGCTATCAAGGCATGTCCAAAGACTCAACAAGTAGAGAGATCAAAGGAGTACAAACTTATATCTATCTTATCCAGGAAGGTAATAACAAGTAGATATGAGGAACCAGTTATAAAATATCTGGATGCTGTTAAATGTACAGCAGAAAAATTGACTAGAGGGGTCAGCACTGTGCTGTAGCAGGTAAAGCCACCTGCAGTGCCAGCATCCCTATGGGGCCTGGTTCGAATCCGAGCTGCTCCATTTCTGATCCAGCTCTCTGCTGTGGCCTGGGAAGCAGTGGAAAATGGCCAAGTCCATGGGTCCCTACATCCACATGGGAGACCCAGAAGAAGCTCCTGATTCCTGGCTTCAGATCAACCCAGCTACAGCCGTTACGGCCATTTGAGGAGTGAACCAGCAGACTGATGACCTCTCTCTCCCTCCCTCCCTCCACCTCTTTTTGCTCTGCCTATCTCTAGCTCTGCCTTTCAAATAAATAAATAAATCTTTGAAAAAAGTTGACTAGAGAACTGGCTAAATGCTCTAACTAATGAACCAGTAAAACACAACATATTTCTCTATTACTTTCTCATGCAATAGTATGAGTTAGGCGATGGTGTATGCAAACTAAATTCTCAACATGCAATTTCCATGACTTACTCCAAGGCAACCATTTCAGTGTCAACATTTTGGAATTTTAAGAAAGAATATAAAATCCAAGTCTAGTAGTAGCTTTGGCATAGAGGAGATGACCACTAAGTTTTACACATAACTTTATTGCTGCCATGTCATTTCTGAACCCTAATAACAAATCTATACTTGAGTAATAAGGAGAGATTGGAACTGTGAACCATAACTAAACATCCACAGTTTTATTGCTTAATATAAAAATTTCACTGTAGTGATTGAGGAATATCTGCCATTGGGATCACAGAAAATAAGACCTTAGAATGTCACATTATAATGCCAGTTTCTGAAATCAGATTTCGCTTTAATAGTCCTACTTTTTGTACTTTACCCTCATCAGTTAGGAGTAAATTTGGGTGGTTTAAAGGCATGTAAATATTGTTGACATAATTTCATATGACAGACAATGGTGCTTTGTCTATGGTATTCCAATTCTAATGATATGAAACAATATTTTCCCCTAACTGCTCCTGAGACTTTCCTCAGATACATTGTTACTGAGAATGTGGCCCATAGATAAGTCATAAATTTGCCTGGGTAACAAATCTCCATGCATTTTAATTAGTCCATCTTACCAAAGGCACAACCATAATTTATGCTATTTCTCATGGTCCTCCTGCATGCATCAGTTATTCATCCCTTGTAATAAGATTAGCATCTGCCTAAGAATACTCACTCACTGGGAATCATATCAGCTCTCATTTGGCTTTGTGTTATGGTTATCAAGAGTAACCTGGCATAGAAAAATTCACTTTTTTTTTTCCTCTTAGCAAGAATGGAATGTAGAAAACATAGGTTGTAGATGCATCGATCTCCATCAATTAGATTTTAGTGAGATTTTCAGGATTTTTAATCAGGCCCAAATGAGATACTATTTTTTAACTCTACTAATGTCATTTGAGTGCATTCAAACTACAATGAATTTAGCTGAACAGAGCTTCTTTTTCAGGTGATCAGATTTACTCACTGAAAGTTTGACTGAAGCTACTAAATTCAGAGTCAAAAAATGTCATAATAGTAAGAAAAAATGAAATAAGGCAAAGCTCAATGGCCTGATATCCTATAGCCAACGTCAAAATTCAAGTATTAGAAAACTCCATTCATTTGTCTTTTGATTATGATGAGGACAGGAATGTCTTCTGTCCAAGAAACTTCACATTTTAACATTGGGAAATTAAAACCAGATTTCAAACCAAAAGAAAATATAGAAAAACAGATTATTAAAAGCAAGATTATTAACTACAGAGAAATTCACACTGCGGACATATTTAATTAGTGCATTAAGATGTCCGTTGAAGGGGCTCACATCGTGCCACCACCTGCAGCACTGGCATCCCATGTGGGCCCCGGTTCATGACCCTGTCGTTCTACTTCCAATCCAGCTCCCTGCTTGAGGCCTGGGAAAAGCAGCAGAAGGTGGCTTAAGTGTTAGTGCCACTGTTACCCACGTGGGATATCTGAATGAATCTTCTGACCCCTGGTTTTGGTTTAGCTAAGACCTGGCTGTTGCAGCCACTTGGGAAATAAAGCAATGAACAACTGATTTCTCTCTCTCCCACTCTATCTCTCCCTCTGTGTTTGCGTAACTCTGGTTTTCAAATAAATTAATGAATAAATGTTTTTAAAAAGACATTAGTTAAAGGTTTAGAACATCAATTTTCTTTCAAAAATATATGTATGAGTATTTTAAATACTTTTGGGCAATTAATTTGGTAATGGTGTGTTTATGAACAAGAGAAAAATATTTTTCTAAAACAATAAGTGTTTCATATAAGATAAATATCAGGGTGAAGGCATTCACAAAAATAACCTAAGAATTAAAATTCTACTAAACTAAACACCAAATTAGCATTTAATTATTTAAACTTGTGAACTCCACCATTGCATTTACCCCAATATAGAATACATCGTGAATGACACAAACTAAATCAGTTTTAGTAACAATGTTGCATACACTCATGTTAGTTACCTCATGTTTTCAGTACATGCATGAAATTATAGTGTAAGAATTATCTGCGCAGTGTATTTTTGAACTCATGCCAGGCAATTTATAGAAGAGACTGTTGCGGCACAAACACATCTTCTGCAGTTTTACTGCCTTAAGTTTGCCTTGGTGATTGCTTTGTTGACTGCTTCTTTCACATCCTTGTTCCTCAGGCTGTAGATCATGGGATTCAGCATGGGGATCACAGTGGTATAAAATGCAGCCACCATCTTTCCCTGCTCCACCGACTCCTCCGTGGGCTGCCGGAGATACATGAATATGAGGGTACCATAAAATATTGTAACAGCAGTCAAGTGGGTCCCGCAGGTGGAAAATGCCTTCCTTCTCCCAGCAGCAGAGTGCATGCGCAGCACAGCTACTACAATGAGGGTGTAGGAGACAAGGACCACTGAGAGAGAATACGTTAAATTAATTCCAGCAATGACCATCATTGTGTATTCTTTGATGCGCACTCCTCCACAGGCGATCTTGATGAGAGGGGGATCTGCACAATAGAAGTGGTTGATTTCAAAGTTCCCACAGAAATACAAGCCGTATGTCCAGAGTGTGCATATTAGACTCACAGAGAATCCGTAGACGTAAGGCACAGAAATGAGCCGCACACACACTGTCTTGGTCATTTTACTGCCATAAAGCAATGGGTTGCAGATGGCCATGTAGCGATCAAAGGCCATTACTGCTAAGATATAGACCTCTACGTGAGCAAGGGCGATGAAAAAGTAACACTGCACCAAACACCCCACGTAGGAAATGGTTTTTGTTTCTGACAATAAGTTTTCCAGCATTTTGGGGGTAACATTGGAAGAGAGCCACACATCCACAAAAGACAAGTGGCTCAGGAAAAAGTACATGGGGCTCTGAAGCTGGGAACTAATATTGATCAAAATGATCATACCAACATTCCCAAACAGAGTGATCATGTAAACTATCAGGAATACCACAAACAAGAGAAGCCGGAGCTCCTGACGCCTGGTCAACCCCACAAGAATAAATTCTGTTACATCCGTGTAATTTGGCATTATTTTCTTTAATGGGTCTTAAAGGAAGTTACCATCAATATTGATCAGTTTCTTATCTGTAACATAGGTAATTAGATTCATTAGAATTAGACATTTATATGTGCTTGATTATTATAATATCCTTAAAATCTGAGGACATGAATATTGAAATCAGACTAAGAATTGTCAGAGAATAACTAAATCCATTCAAAAGTGTATTTTAAAGACAAAAACCCTTGAGATCCACAAATGTGCCCCAAAAATCAGGCAGGTAGTTGATGCAACATTGGGAAGCAAACAGGATAAGCATTTGAAACTCCATTAAAGATTGCTAAGTATAATAGTTGCCAGGGCTGGTGCTGTGGTGCAGCACATTAATGCCCTGGCCTGAAGTGCCAGCATCCCATATGTGCACCGGTTCAAGTCCCAGCTGCTCCTCTACAGGCTCTCTGCTATGGCCTGGGAAAGCAGTGGAAGATGGCCCAAGTTCTTGGGCCCCTGCACTCACGTGGAAGAAGAAAAAACTCCTGGCTCCTGGCTTCTGGCTTCAGATCAGCACAGCTCTGGCCATTGTGACCAGTTGGGGAGTGAACCATCAGATGGAAGACCTCTTTTTCTCTCTCTGTCTCTCTCTCTTTGTAACTCTGACTTTCAAATAAATAAATAAATCTTACAAAAAGCATAATAATTACCTCTCGATATAAACAAAAATAGAAATATGCATGTGATATTAATTCACACATTTTTGAATGCTTTTGAGAGAAATTTCTTATCTTTTTGATTATATGGGACAATGAACATTCAGGTTTGTATTGCAATCTAGTTACTGACATATTTGTCCTACATTATAACACTATATGCTACCAGCATATAAATTCCATCACTATCTTAGACATAATATTTGTTTACCAACTATGTTTAGGACTGAGAAAAGAAGGATTAACAGCATAGATAATAAGTTTAATAGTTATCTTAAAAATGTAAACTACAAATGATTCAATTATTGTTGAAGCAGTTGCATCCCGCAGTGGAGTGTTTTGATTTCATTCCCAGCTCTGGCTCCTAATTTCTGCTTCCCACTAGTGCACACTCTGGGAGGCAGTGGTGATACCTCATGTTATTGGGTGCCTTCTATCCATGTAGGAGACTTGGACATTTTTCTGGGTTCCAGGTTTCACCAAGCTGTACCCCTTGTTTTGCAAGCATTTGAAGAATAATTTAGCAGGATAGAAGTTTCTCTCTCTCCCTCTCTCTTTCTTTGTCTCCCTCCTCTCTCAATTTCTGCCTCTCTGTTTCTCAAATAAATATTTAATTATATCATTAGATTAGATATCAAGGGTAAAATATTTGTGATGTTTTAATAAGTAGCAAGTCATCAGATTTAAATGGTTGTCATAACCGATTAATTCAACATCTATTTGTATGCAACTTAAATATCACCACAATCATAAAATTACAAAAAAAAATTCTGCTTTTGAAACACTTTTTTTCACTTGTATTCTTTTTTCCTTTTTTGATTTTTAAATTTTCATTAATATGAGAACAGATATCAGGTTTTCATAGACACAGTTCTTTAGATAACCATACTTTTCTCCCTCCTCAACTCCCTCCCACAATTCCCCTCCTTCCTTTCTTTTTCTCTTTAATTTTTACAAAGACCTTATTTCAATCCATTCTATAATCACAGACTTAATTCACCACTAACTATAATATTCAACAAGTAAGAAGTATTTGAGCCTGAGCTGTTAAGGAAGTATGTGTAAAAATAACACCATGCGAGGAATTTAACCTCTCCATCACAATATTTATTGAAGTGGATTTTACTGACTTATAAATATAATAATTAGCTATATCAATACATTTCATTTACATCAAGCAAATTCTCTATCAGATATTTTGATATATTAGATGTAGAAACATTGCAATTAGAGGAAATATTAGACTGAACAAGGTATGTATGAGTCTACTTGCATCATGCTTTAGTCATATTGAAGAGTAAACAATACAATTGATGTACTGTAGGTGTTGATAACTGCTCTGACAACAGGATAGCATTCTAATTAGATAATGAATAAGGGGGCAGTCATGACAATTTCTCTTAGGAGTGACTTTGAGGTTCTTCCAACTAAGCAGCCATGGAGATATAAGGGGAAGGAGAGAATGCCCAATGTAAACATTTTACATGGTGAAAAAGAATGTCGCTACCAAGAATTTTTGTGATTATATAACACTCCTCTTCTGCTTTTATCAGAACATACAAGGGAAGTTAACCTCTGTCAACAATTTTCTTCTTCAGAAAATGCTTAATACAGTGATGAAGTATACTACGTGAGGTGTCCTCAAAATGTTAGTGGAAATTGTGCATTATGAAAAAATGCATGGGTTCTAAAATCCTTTGCACCATAGTATATTTGTCTTTTAATTCTATTTTTTCCATGAATTTTTGAAGCCCATTCAACTGGACACTTAACATAATAGACATTGAAGTTTTAGTTCTAAATTCCAAGTACTGTACATTTTCATAATTTTAGCCCATGTGTTTTGGATTTTTTTATGTGTAAATAGAAAGATGACACTTCAGAGACTTATTAAAATTAGCTAGTCATGGTTTTCCCATTTCCTGACTAAAACTGATGGAATCATAATTCTCTAATTAACCAAAATTGCTTTGGGTTAAAGGTACAATTATTTAAAAAATGAAATATATCAAAAAGCATTGTTGCATCTAAGAAAAATAAACCTATTACTTCTTCAATTTAATTTCGATCACCATCTGGTGTGTGTGTTTCTCTTCCTCTACACATAACTGGTAGTTCTGTATAGTAGCATTTATCTTACTTATCTGATAGCTCAACCTGTCTGACATAATATTTTACATATAGCAGATATTTAACAAAAATCACACATACTGCATTTTGAAACTCTCCTGATCTCTGCGTCAGCTTCATATAATACAATATTCCAATCTTAAAACCCTTTAACAAGGATGTTTCTAGAGGCCACATTCCAAACTTTATAACATCTGTAAGAATAGCTAACATTTACTGAATGTTCACAGATCCTTTTAGATGCTCTGTTCCCTTGAAGTAGATTGTGTTAATATGCCCCTGTTTTACACAGAAGGAAGAGATTTTAAAAGTCTCCTCATGTCAGACATCTATTAATTAATAGCATTTTGATGCAAATCAAATAAACTGATGCTAGTTTTGTACCATGAAAGCTCACAGTAATCCACCAAGGATGGAAGATTAAAGGGGCATATTTATTCTGTCTTGAAAGACAACTACACTGATTTTTAAATATAAAGAAATGCAAGTATAGAACAAGAGTAGCAGTAGAGCTTTCATGAGCTCAGGGCAGGCTCAACTACAAAGATGGTCACCACTGCTTCTTTGTAGCTCTCCAAGTTTGAGTGATTCTGCTAATCTAAGTTTAGTTGACCAAGGGCTTTCTTTTTTTTCTTTTTTCTTTCTTTTTTTTTTTTTTTTTTTGACAGGCAGAGTGGACAGTGAGAGAGAGAGAGAGACAGAGAGAAACTCTTCCTTTGCCATTGGTTCACCCTCCAATGGCCACTGCGGCCAGCGCACCGCGCTGATCTGATGGCAGGAGCCAGGTACTTATCCTGGTCTCCCATGGGGTGCAGGGCCCAAGTACTCGGGCCATCCTCCACTGCACTCCCTGGCCACAGCAGAGAGCTGGCCTGGAAGAGGGGCAACCAGGACAGAATCCAGCACCCTGATGGGGACTAGAACCCGCTGTGCCGGAGCCGCAAGGCGGAGGATTAGCCTAGTGAGCCGCGGCACCAGTGACCAAGGGCTTTAAAAAAAATAATAAACTAATATATTACATAGATGTGTATCGCATATCAAAACAAGCAAGAAGACAGAATGTGTAATTTACAAATAATAAATGGATTAATTTTTCTTATTAACATTTCAGAAATAACCCATGAAGAAAAAGAATGAAGGTTTAATTCTCAGACAAGCATGAAAGCTTTCGAATAGGCTATAGAGGAAATATGAAAATTATCCAGTAATCTAGTTCCACACAATATAAAATTTGATGAGATTCATAATTTAATGAACAGAAGTGTTAGTCTTCTCTTTTAAAAAAGGAACACAAACTAAAAGAATTGACTGTATTACTCTATACTGCAAAGAATGCAGAACTTGTAGACCTACCTTCATCAGGGAAGATTAGAAAATGGTAATTTCTCCCTACTTATAACAGAGACTTGGACATCAGGACCATGGGGAGCATCTTCCTAATGGACAATTAAGATAATTATGAAAGGTATAATGATTAAAATTCTAGGAACACCTCAAGGGTAAAAGTTAAGGAATGTGTTGAGAAGAACAAATCTCCCTTTAAACTTTTTTATTAAGTTAATTGAAAGGAAGACTGAGAGGGAAGAAAGAGAGAGGGAGAGAAAGACAGAGACAGAGACAGAGACACAGAGAAAGAGACATCTACCTGCCAGTTCACGCTCCAGATGGTCGCAGCAGCCAGGGTTGGCCAGATCAAAGCCAGGAGTCAGGAACTGCATCTGGATCTCCAACATGGGCGGCATGGGCTCAAGTATTTGGACAATCCCCCTCTACCTTCCTAATCCTAGGCACATTAGCAGGGAGCTGGATCAGCAGCTGAGCTGTGGGGACCTGAATCAGCATCCCATTTCGTGGGATGCCAGTGACAGAAGCAGCAGCTTAACAGTGTAAGCTCCAAGAAATAAAACGTATAAATTCTGGAATTTATGATACAATCTATCTCCTATTTTTACTAGGTTCAACCCTTCTTTATCAAGTTGTGCAGAAGAACCAATTCTTAGAATAGATGATTACAAAAACACATTACTTATGTGACTTGTGTTATTTTCAGATGCCAGATACCTCAAAGTACAAATCACTTGGAATAACTGGGAGGAAGAGAATGAGTAGAGGTCATTAGTAGGGGAAAAGATGGACTTCAAACTCAAACAGGTCTGAAATCAAACCTTGTCTCTAACAGATTAACTATGGGAC